GTCATCATCATCATCATCGTCGTCGTCGTCATCATCATCATCAACAACAACAAGCTCGCATGTCAACACTAGCAATCTCCTGACTGTCGCTTTCTACTGCGACTTCTCCCTCGTCGTCCCACCTCGCTCCATCGCCACACACACACACGTTCAGCGTCTCACACACACACACAACCTGCCGGGGCTCGTGAAGGACACCCAACACGCCTCCCTGCAGAGAGTGAGAGGGAGGAGAAAATGACTGTAAGGACCCACCGGCTTCACCAGCCTCCAGCAGACCGAGAGGAAGGAAGTCAACTCAGCCTGCTGGTCGACGCTCGATTCCACCTGAGAGAGCAGCGGTGAGACGGAGAGAGGGAAAGGAGGAAGAAGCAGGAGGAGAGGGAGGAGGTGGTAGAGGGAAGGGCGGAGGAGGCACAGGGAGGAGGAAAGAAAGGACGGGGTAGAGAGCAGAGCAGGAGGGAAGGGAGAAGGTAGAGAGCTGAAGGGTGGGAAGGGAGGTGTAGAGAGGTGACAGGAGCAGGATATCAGGTAGGGAGGAAGAGAAGGTAGAAAGGAGACGAAGAGGAGACGAAGGAGATGGAGAGGTAGAGCGAGAGAGGGAGCGAAGGAGCGAGAAAGGGAGGGAGGGAGGAGCTCCGGCAACAGAAGGAGGAGGAGAGGAGAGGAGAGCATGGTTGTCTGCTCAGAAGAGCTCGACTCACCCTGGAGTGATGGAGGAGGACGAAGTCAAATGTCTCCTCCTCGAGGAAGGGAACCTGCTGCATGGTGACCCGCCCGAACTGAAACGCGAATCGTCAGGAAGCGCGAGAATGAGCAGGAGGGGCCAACGGGAGCGAGCGCGGCCTCCTTGTAGTCTTGACGGGTCGCCGAAAGGTTGGGAGGGCTCGGGACGAAGTCTTGATCAGCACAGATGACCTGGGAAGGGAGTGAAGAGGGAAGAAGAAGAGAGAGAGAGGGTGGGAGGGGGAGAGAGCCGAGTAAGCCCGAAGACTCAGTGACTGATGATCCGGGACCTGATCGGATGCCAGGAGAAGTCCGTCGGCCGGGTGACTGAGGGCCTCGGAAAGCCTTACCCAGAAAGTTTGACAAGAAGAAACCGGGTTGGAATTTTCTAAGGAGAAAAGATGATTGCTGAGCCTGATTTTTCAGTCAAACACTACCGTGGGCCCTCCTGACAACCGTTACCTTATTCAAGGGTATCTAGCATGAATCAAGTCCGGGAGTCAACATCGCATGAATCTTCTTCTTCTACTTCGGGGTAGACCGTGAGGAGAGAATCGTGCTATAACATTTAACCATACATCCACAATGAAAAACAATAGGATCTCAAACTCATGGATCACAAAGTTCGTTCTTGGAGAAGAGCAACAACCTTTGAAAGCACTGAGG